TGATTGGTTAATTGGCAACTTGACCAATAAACACAGTTGTTTCAGGTCTCGTGCGCATGGAAAACATGGCAGATATTGTATCACATCAAGCGTTTACATGTGACTGAAATCATTTGCTTATGATGAAACTAAGTTGAATTTTGCTTGCATTTCATAACAATTCAACAAATTTATTTTTTGTACGTTATTATAATCACTACTGAGTACTGATCAACTTCAAAACAAGTAAAGTTATTCTCTTGTGAAATACAGCATGATTGGATTTCGCTACCATACCGTGATCGTTTGCTACTAAGCAATGTCTGTATTTTATTCGAAACTTCTTTTAAAATATACTTTTCGTTGCCAACAAAATTAAAAATAGTAATGCATATTGTTGTCATGTAAACAGTTTTTTTGATTGACTGTAATTTTTGACTCCCGTGTGCGAAGCACAAAAAGGAGTCTTTGCAGTTACCCTGTCTGTATGTCTGTATGTATGTATGTATGTATGTCACTTTTTTTGTTCCACCGTTATCTCAAGAACCACTAATCAAATTTTGGTGAAACTTGGTAAATAGATACTCTGGGATAATGCGCAGAGTTGATTAGGTTTTGGTAAAAATTTATGAATATTAATTACCTAATTTGCATGATAATTAGCTGATTTTTAGCTGTTTCAAGACTGTTCCACTGATATCTGAAGAACCATTGGATTTTGATGAAATTTGGCACATGGATGCTCTGAACTAGTGCGCAGATTTGATTAGTTTTGGGTAAAAATTTATGAATATTAATTACCTAATTTGCATGATAATTAGCTGATTTTTAGCTGTTTCAAGACTGTTCCACTGATATCTGAAGAACCATTAATTGGATTTTGATGAAATTTGGCACATGGATGCTCTGAACTAGTGCGCAGATTTGATTAGTTTTGGGTAAAAATCTATGAATATTAATTACCTAATTTGCATGATAATTAACTGATTATAAGCTTTTCCACTGATTTTTGAAGAACCTCTCATTGGATTTCAATGAAACTTGGCACATGGATGCTCTGAACTAATGCGCAGATTTGATTAGTTTTGGGTAAAAATCTGTTAATATTATTAATTACCTAATTTACATAATGATTAATCAATTTTCGGTTTTTCCACTGATATCTCAAGTACTAATCATAACATTTCAATAAAACTTGGTACATAGGTGTCATATGACACTGCAAAGACCTGATAGTTTTTAGGGTAATATCAGTACATATTAAGTA